TTATAAAATTGTTATTTCTTGGATAAGAATTCTCATGCAACTTTAACATATATTATAGTGTTTTTGTTTGCTATCCCATGTACAGGGGGATTCAGGAGGACCTATGGTAATCAAAGAAGATGGTCGAATCACAATTGTAGGAATTGTTTCATTTGGTTTAGAATTATGTGCTTCATCTGGATGGCCATCTGTGTACACTAGAGTTTCAAGTTTCATGGACTGGATAGCAGAAAATACAATGGACTCTCCTCCCTGTTACAAATGATAGTACATCTGTTGTCATAACAACAACAGACTGAACAGTTTTTAAATATTGAATGACTCTACTTCCAACAACTGATGAATAAATGACAAAATATCTTTGATTGAAAAGGCTATTTCAACAGCAACATTAAAAACAGAAAATATAAGTTTATGGATATTATATGCAGATTACCAGGCACAACCACATTAAAAAAAAAGTTCATAATTAAATATGCCTCTCTTCTTTCTGTAAATTACTTTTGAAGTATTTATAATTAGATAAAAAAGGAGCAAGATTTTCTAATATTTTTCAAAGCTTCTCCCTTTGTTTTATAAATTACCTTAGCATTTATAACAGATGTAATTACGCTTCAGTACCATATATCTTAACAGTTCAATTCTGTGAAACTTAAACATGGAACAGAAAAACAATTCATGATTGATAAATCACATAGGTTCATCAAATTTTTTCAGTCACTATATAATTCCCAACACAAATCTGAAATCTATTTATTTCTAATGAAAGACTCACTTGTACATAACAACAACAATGGAAAGTGATGAACAAGGTTTCAGAGTGAATGTAGAAAAATAATTATTTCATACAATTAACAAATAGAAACTGTTATAGTAAAATAAAACTTTCTCGATGGCTCTGAAACAAAGACATAAAATTCACAAAGTGATCTTCAACAAGAAGTGTGAGGAGAAGCTATAAAAATATCATATATTATAAAGTTTACATAAGTTTAATTATGCCGTGATGATTGATCAAAGTTATCAAGAATAGAAACAGTATCAATCACGGTAAGAATTATTTTATTATTTGTACAACTATTAAAAATGCAAACCACAGTCACTAAGCCCCATAGCAGTTATAATTTGTGTTTTTTTATCCACCAAAAAAAGCACAGGCACACTGTCAGGAATGTTCTTTCTATTATTTCTGCACATACATATATCTATTGTTGGGGGGGGGTAAAATGGAGTCATTTCATGTTAGCTATGTCTTGTAGTCCAAAGTGTTTTTCACACCATTTGTTACATCATTATTAACAGATAATAAAAACAAAAAACTGTTTTTTGTTTGCAAGTAAATTTGTACATTTATATCATTAATGTAATTATATTTTCATTTAGTTAGATGTTTCATTTGGCTAATGTTTCAATTGAAACCTATAAATCATACGCAGTTTATTTTCTCTAACTATCATGGGAATGGTACAGAAACACAGATGTTATAACATATGAAAGCAAATCTAACAGTAAACTTAAAAAATATAATTCTCATGGTCTATGTCAAAAACAATTATAAACATTTGTGCTTTCCACTTACATCCACTGTTTAAAATACCATTATAAAATAGATTCACAAGTGGCTACATAGTCATAGGTTAATAAAGAATGTGAGAATAAGCCTTAATAATTACTAATGATATAATGTAAACTATGTCGTGGATTTTGATAATCTTATAAAATATGATCAAACGTTTGTGAATGATGTTTACCAAGTATGATTATTCTCAGTCTAGAGAGGGTATATTTTCATCTCTGAAAAGAGAATAGAGATTCCTACACCTTATAGGAGAAACATGATTATTGAACACAAAGTTTCTTAAAATGATCCATCTAGATTGCCCTCTATACGGAGGCTGTGGAACTAGAGCCTCTAGGTGTAAGAGAGTTTGACTGAGTGTTTTTCACTGAATTGATGGAGTGATGAGAAAGACTTCTTGATGCATTAAGACTGCTCATTGTTCCCATCTGTAACAAAATAAATTAAAATTATTAATGCTGACTTCATTTAAAATATTAATAGCAAATTGTAAAGTAGATAAATACTATTCAGAAACAGTTGATTTATAATTAACATAACATAACGTTTAGGGGACAACAAGAGACCCGTTGGTCCGTCTCAACCGTCCCATCTTCTTAACTAAACTATCAAATAAATAAATTGAAAAAAATAGATAAAATACCAATCTTAAAGCCAGCCTTTTTCGTATAGTTATCAAGCTTTCTCTTAAAGTCACTTTAATTTACAATATCCAACAAGAAGCTACTTCAGAAATCAACATTGAAAAAAAATAGTACTGGTGCCAGTCAATTTTTCAAAACAGTAATATACAGTGGTATTGAGATGATAATAAAATATTTTGTAAAACAATAATGTTTCTTAATATTGAAGAAACAATGTTTAAGTATTAAAATAAATAAAGGGTTCAATAATAAACCATATAGTAAAATGTGTTTACCTTAAGTTTTGCCATATCTTCCAAGCGGGTTATATCTGCAAGCTCCTGGTAGTTAGAATAAACCACTAGCCAAAAAAATACCTAACACAAAAATGGCTGTTAAAATCAATCTGTTTAGATTTAAAACAGTTTGTGAAATACTTGAATCTACAATAATAAATAGGGTGTGTCTGTGTGTGTGTGACTGCCATCACTCCAAGTGGAAAGAACCTAGAAATCTGAAATTTTGCACCCATACTAAGTGGAAACTGAGGGTGTGCACCTGGGTATTATTACTTATCCATGTGCACACAAAAACTTTTTATTGAGGCAAGGTAGCAAAAAATCACACAGAAAAGAAGTGATTCCTTATATAACAACTTCTAATATATAGAAAAGCCAATGCATTTTGATAACAATGTGTTCCAACAATAGCTTTTATGTCATGTTGCTTAGCAACAAAAGTAGAACCTAATATTGTTCTTATTCTATGTACTGAAAGTGTAAAATGAAATGCATAAACTACAAAATTGAAAAAATATTTGTCAATTTCTTAATCGAGAATCTCCTTTGATTAAAGAGGTTTGTTATTATTATTTAAGTTCAAAATTGGATCGATATTTTTACTTTTATGATAAATGTTATGCTCTTGGCTCTAGGCTGAGTTATCTCATACTATGTCTTTACTTTAGGCTTATTTATTAACTAGCTGGAGTACCTGTCCCCTGGACGGAAGTTATGTAAATTCACAATTAATGAAAGGTTATCTTATGGCATGAAAAGTTGCTTGCCTCATATGTAATTGCCAAAAAATGCCATAAAAACTGCAAAACATAAAATGTGAAATTGAAAGTTTGTATGTATCTCCCCATGGACCCAATGAACCTTCACACCAAACTTGGTAAAGATCCATCAAAAAAAAAAAGGTAGAGGTAGTAATAAAAAATGCAAAACCCCTATAAAAAACATAAAATACAAAACTGAAAATCTGCACATATTTTTCCATGGATACAACAAACCTTCATGCCAAATTTGATGAAGATCCATCAACAGGGGGCAAAGTAGTGGTAAAAACCCATTAAAACTGCAAAACTGAAAATGTTTATGTATCTCCTCATAGACCCAATGAACCTCTGTACCAAGTTTGGTGAAGCTCCATCCACAGGAGGTGAGGTGGTGGTAAACAACGCCCATAAAAACTGCAAAATGTAAAACTGAAAATTTGTATGTACACCCCACATGCACTTAATGAACCTTAATACCAATGTTGGTGAAAATGCATCCACACCTTGCGAAGTTATGTGGACTTACAACCAACAGTACTATTATATTTATACAGATTTCTTTAGTTCTTTCCAACATTCACTACACTTACAAGGTTTCATGGCAATCCTCTTGCTACCCCATCAGTAAAATCGTAATAGGCAAACATTAATCAAATGGTAAAAAATTGTAATAGATTCTAATAAAATGAAATAGAAATTTTTGATATCAAATATAAATGTGAAATTTAACACAATGATATAATTCTTTGATAATAAATAATTCTTAATTTACCATAATTAAGGAACTAATTATAAGGAACTATAACAAGCATAGATTATAAAGATGATGTCCCATAAAGTGTTGTTAGGTTAGTAAAGTGAGTTGAAATATAGTCAGTGATATAGTTGAGAGAGTGTATGTTTGTTTCTAAAACAGAGTTGTTTCAACAAGATATACAATGAATCAGTCAGTGTATTAGCTATTGCAGTTACTTTGTGCAAGTAAGTTGATGTTAATCTTAAGAAATGCAGAAGTATAGAGAAGCTGCAATGACAAAAGTAAAGAAGTAACGGAAGACATCATCAAGGTAGAAAAGAACATTAATGACAGAATAAACATCTGGAAAATGAACTATTAAATGAAAAGAGTAAACCAGCCATAACTCTGTACATTAGCTTAAGAGTTCCAACTGAAAACACCATGTACTACGAGATATGGAACAGAACAAATTACTTGGTCTACACCTATTTTCACTACTGTTATATCACCTGTTACTGAAGGACAACTCCATCCATGAACCTTTCAAATCCAGTTCCAGAATTTAGCTGGCCAGTTCTACATATGCCAATTTAAAAACAAACAGACTGTGATTGGGAAGGTACCATGAGAGTCATACCAGGCTCAGTTTGAAGTAATTTCCAGAGTGAACAAGTGGAATAATGAACAACAAGCCATCCAAGTTACCACCCTTTTAAAGGACCACCTTTGATGACATTAAGTAACCTTCTGGCTGACAGCTGTAACAACTAGGGAGCATTAATGGCTGCCTCATCTAACATGTTTAGAGTCACACACCAGAAGGAAGTATCCAGAGCAAAGTTTCAGGACAATGTAGAGAGGAAAGAAGAAACCTTATCCAAACTAACAAAAGATTTGGAAAAGCTTACTAAGTTGTCTTACCAGGATGCTCCTCCTGAAATGATGAATACATTGGCATGTTACCAACTTATAGATGCCATAACAGGAGATGATATGAGAATTAGGCTGAAGCAAAGTAGATATATGTCCTTAAGAAAAGCTCTGCAGTTGATGACAGAAGTAGAATCCATTAAAGCTGCAAACGACCTGATAAAGGCATCATCTGTACATTAAGGGATATCTGATTCTGCAGTAATGAAACATCAACTCCTTCTAACAATAGTCTAGAACTGAAAGAACTAATCAGATAGCTAATTAAACAGAACATAAAAATAAACCAAAACAAAATACATGTTTGAAATGTAACTTGAAGAGACATATTGCTAGAAACTGTAGACAGAGGCCTGTATGGACTAAGAGCTCTAAAACCAGAAAGAGGTAACTGTTACAATCGTGAGAAACCTGGCCTTTAGGTTGAGGCTGTAAAGAACCAACAGATGTTATCAAGCCAAGAAGAAAGAGCCCAACCAGATCAAAGGAACAACTCAGAGATAAGGAAACAAGAATTAGTTAAATCTAGCAATATTAAGCTGGAAATATTCATGAATGTTAAAGAAGTTCATTATTTGAGGAAAATCATCCACAAGTCCTTAGGCTTAGTGATGGAATAACCTTGAAGTATGCTGACTGACACTGGTGTCACAGCAATGATTGTTTGACTCGATTAAGTACCTCCAAATAAGTAGAAAGAAGAGAGAATTATGTGAACAACAACTGAATATAAGGGTCCAGCACGGGGAAAATTACCCTTACTACTCTAAAATAGAAATAAAACAACAATAATAATAATTTTAAAGGTCAAGAATTATTTCCATAAATGTTTTTCTTCTATGCTTAAGTTTGATAGCTAGTGATTTTCTATTGTTTAGTCATTCTATTTTTTTTAATGTGCATGCAATAACACATGAAATTACCATTGTTAAGTCAGTTTTTAATTGTTGTATGTGTTCTTCTTGATTATCAGTGTGTATTTGTATGTGATGTTGTAAATCTTGAAAAGGGTACAAGCCAAAATGTTGGGTTTGAATAAAGAAAAATTGTTTTTTGGAGTGTGGTTAGTCATGATTTCAGTCCTCTAATCTTGTTCGCAATGTTGAAAACTGAGATGTCCTGAGGTTCATGGATGGAGCTGCCAGTGGATTCACTCAACCACTGCCCCAGTAAAAAGCCAGCCAATGACAAGATGCCATTCCCTCTGTACACCATGATCCTTGGAAGAAAAAAGATTTGGCGAAGGGACAATTTAGTGTCCTGTTTTATTTTTTTCTATTAGGATTGTTCAGAGGTCTTTGAAATTCAGGAAGGGGATAGTTTTATAAGCTATCTTTATAATGTTGTAATTTGTATAATTTATATGTTATCTAGATGGCATGTGATGATATCATCACACAAGTCATACAGATATCTAGAACAAGTGTAGTTATGAACATGATATTACATGAAGCATCATTAGGTTAGTTTAGAAAGTAAGGTGAATGTAGTCAGGGATACAGTTAAGAGACTTTACAATGTTTTTGAGATAGAGAGTTTTTCAAAAAGATACTGAAGTTAGCTATTGCAGTTACTTTGTGCAAGAAAACTGATTAGATTTTACCTTAGTCCTAGACTGTCAGGAAGGTTTGAATGTCATTTGTAGCATAGACCTACAATAATTGAAGGCAGTGTACAAGTGTTTAATCTTACAGAAACATCAATGGACAAAATAAAATAATTTGTGATTTGTACATGGACTGGACTTTCAGTTCTTTTTACCAGATGGTTTCACACAATCGACTAATAAAAGAAAAACATACAACAATATAATACAAACATCATCAACTGTTTGCTTATTTATTTATTAATTACTTCATTTGCTAAAGTATATCATTTTTTGATTAATTAGGGCTAGTTCAATTATTTTATTTTTGTTTGCAATTCACTTGTCTACTAATATAAAAGAATTAAATATCCTTCAAACCTTACATTTGTTCCAATAAGAAGGATCCAAATTACTAGGATGGCTTGGTGGTAACTGTAATAAATATCCTAAAAAAATACATTTAAAAGTATAGCTATACAATAATAACAATAAATGTTTTTAAAATATATAATTCAAGTACTTATAAGAGTTGATGGTTACATAAATAAATAACCTGTTACAACTATAAAAATTATTGGCATGGCTTGGTGGTAAACAGCGTAAATAACCTTATAGAAAATCTGAGCTCATCACTAGCCTAGCTTGGTTGGTAATCAGGTTAGATAACCTTATAGAAAACAAACACATCACTAGCATATCTTGGTGGTAACCATGGTAAATAACCTGATAGAAAACTTAAACTCATCAGTAGCATGGCTTGGTGGTAAGCAAGTAAATAACCTGATAGAGAATAATTGAAGTTATTATAGAAATTAATTAATTCATTATCCTTGCATGGAATGGGCTTGACATTATTACTAAATCATCCAAAAACTCCCAATGATAGGAGACTTACAACAATAATGAAAATGTTTTGCCTCGATTACATGTTACACAACTTACACGGATTGTTGACCAAATGATTGATCTAACTTCACATATATAATTCTATTTATAGAATTACACACCTACTTTTCTTTACGTTAAAATACCTATTTTTTATTTGCAAGTTTTTGGCCCTCTTACTGGACTCATCTTTCGAGCCGAAAGCTCACAAAGAAAAAAAAATTTTTTTTAACGTAGAGAAAAGTCTGAATAATTCAAGTACTGTAGCACGTTGTACAATAGTAGTATAATAGAGTATAAAAATATGTATGAAATATCTGGTCTACCAAATCTTTTCTTCAATAGTTTTTTTTTTTGCCTAGCATCAACAAATGTACAGTGTTCCATTCCCACCCCTTCTGTGTCACCTTAATTTAACATTTATCTGGATATTTAGGCCTTCTGCTGCTCTTGAACACTTGACATTGGCAATAGACCCTATTATATATTTTACTCTGTGATTTGAGAAAAACAATGGATATTCTTCCTACACTATCTTGAAAATAAAAGCTCTTTTTTGTCTGGGGTTTTCACATTGATGATTCCATTTTTCATCTCGATGTCTTTCATTAAGAACTGTAGCAAATAACAATGTAATATTTTTATCGGTAGGCAAAGTCATAAAATAGGTGTCTTTTGATATAACAATGTGCGTACATATCGAAATGTGTGTGTTTTATACGTGTAACTAGCTGACATATCTGTAAAAAAATAACGGGTTGGAGTTTTGTAAAAAGAAAAAAAAAAACGTGGGAGACCCCCCCTTCTTTCAGTGAGCTTTGTTTCCCAAACTTCCTCCTTCATCATAAAAGTAAAACAATCACAATAAAAATTTCCAAATACACACAAAAAATCAACAATAAAATTGCAACATAAAATAAAAATGACTCATAATTTGAGCATTATAAAATTACAACTGGCATTCATATATCATCTTCCCTTGGACTTCAGATTGAGAAACACTGGTTGATTTATCATAGTTCAAACCTTGGTAACTAAATTGCATGATTATCTTAATTGGTAACCTACTCAAAACATAATAAGGTTTTGTTTTAAAAAATTTTAAATTATTAAGAACTTCCACAACAACATTAAGTTTAAAATAATATAAAACATGAATACTCATATCATAAATACCAAAATTAAGCATAATACCTTCATATTCGATAATTTTACCACAGAATAAGTACAAAGTATCACAAAGTTATGAATTGGGCTAGCTTTTAGCTGCACACTTACATTTGCTATTGAGCGGAATATGATTGCAATAATACGCCAAACAGTGAAAAGAAATGCAGCAATTAACCAAGGCAGAAACTTTTGCTCATGTTCCTAGAAAAAAAAAAAATGAAAGGAAAAAAGATTGGATTTCTATTTCACTTTATTCTTTCACTGGAAACATATAAATTCATATTTATATTTTTTGTCTTTCCAGAATATTTAAGAGAACATACTTAACGTAAGACATTTCACTATTTATTAATCAAAGTTGATATGTATTGCTTACAAACATTACCTTAAAACAATATTCTACAGCTAAGCCTATTACTATCTCAGAATTTACAACATTAAAACTGGTTTTCAAAAATACTGAACATCAATTTGATTTTATGATTAGTTTTCAAAACTGAAATTTTTAAATTTTAGAACATTTAACAAAACATGTATAATAATCCAATCTGTTGATGTTTAAAAATTCTACTTTTTAAGATCTAAGTTAAGAACAAGTAAGTCTTATATAAACAAATACATTACCTTTTTCAGAGCATTCATCAAGATGATTGAACTCACAAGTAAATACACAGCGAGAAAGAATGAGATTACTGAGCAGAAAATTAAAAGGTTTCGAACTGTAAAAAAAATAATAGTTTAGAGCTTAGTAATAGCTTGTAAAAAACAGAAACAAAACACACGTTTACATTACAATAATAGTTTGTAAAGAACAGAAACAAGATGCACGTTTACATTACAATAATAGTTTGTAAAGAACAGAAACAAGATGCACGTTTACATTACAATAATAGCGTGTAAAGAACAGAAACAAGATGCACATTTACATTAGAATAATAGTTTGTAAAGAACAGAAACGACACATGTTTACATTACAATAATAGCTTGTAAAGAACAAAAACAAGATGCATGTTTACATTACAATAATAGCTTGTAAAGAACAGAAACAAGATGCACATTTACATTACAATAATAGTTTGTAAAAAACAGAAACGACACACGTTTACATTACAATAATAGCTTGTAAAGAACAAAAACAAGATGCACGTTTACATTATAATAATAGTTTGTAAAGAACAGAAACAAAACACATCAACAGTATGATGATAGCTTGTAAAAAACAGAAACAAAACACATGTCTACAAAATGATAATAGCTTGCAAATAAAAAGAAACACAAACTTATAACAAACAGAAATAATTGTGAATTTTTTCTTCCTTATTAAAATGTGTATCTTCGGGGAAGAAAAGAAAAAATCCATGAATGATGTAGATGTCTAACCTATTCTTTGTTAGATGATGAATAAATGATTTTATATCAGTCCCCACAAAATGAAATATATATATTTGCATGTGGTAATAACTTTTGATGAAATAAAGAAATACAAGTTTAAATTCTGGCAAAATCCTGAAAGAAACGTAAATAGGCTTACAAATCGGTATTAGAATTTTGTTATGGCCTACAAAACATAATAATAAGCACATGTTCAAACATATTCGTATGCAACTAACAGGGGATCTTTTATGTCAGAAAAATGATATTCCTATACATTTTCCAAAATCTGTGATACCAAAGAGTCCCATTTTTTATTTAGCAATATTAAACTAACAGAGCTGCTAGGGGATCAAGATTAGCACCAACTTGTTCATTTGCCATTGAGCAAAAAAAGGAGTTGATCTGTGTATCATTTGTCTTCTTTATAATACTGTACATGTTGATGTTTTTCTGACTATTTTCATAGTCAGAAAACATCAGCTTCTTTATTCTGCATATACAATGTTAATGTGAAATTTAAGTGTCGCAAAAATACTTTTTCTGATTTATGTTGTAATCTCCACGTTTCTTTTTCCAGGCTTTTGAAAATATATGGGAGTAAGATATTGACTTATCATGCTTATAAGGTATAGATAATGCTGGATTAAGAAAACCTGGGGCCCTGGGTACAGAGAATCTGGAACCCCTCCCATTTGAAAACATGCTATGCGATGAATGTGGTTCTAACATTTACACAGTTGAAAGGTGTTATGCAAGACTTTTTCTGATAAATACTAAAATATGATAAAAACAGTGAGTGTCTCCTGAGTAGTTAAATTACTTTCTTTTTTGCAGTTCCTGGTGACTCAGTGATAAGTTTGAGGGCATATAATGCTAGAAATCAGGTTTCTATATCTGCGATTGGTAGAGTACAGACAGCCCATTGTGTAACTTTGTATTTAACAACAAACATTTCTCAAATACTTTTCTGTATCTATTCATCAAAGAAAATATTTCCTGCCAAAAATAACATATAATGCTTGAATACTAGAGATGTGCGAATTTTTATTCTTCTTCAAATATAGGTTTGTAATTCCTATCAAAAAGGGATATTTTTTAACAATGAGTGATGGTTATTGAGATTCCCATAAACAAATAACAAAAAGGTATTTTAATTCTGGTTATCCCTTGCTGTATTAGAATGGTAATAATTACAATACACTTCCTTCTGTTTAACCACATGGATCGAGTTAACTATGAAAAAGCTCTCAATTCTGAGTGAACAAAAACCGACTGCGTCAACAGAGCTAGTTAAGAGAATGTTGGAAAAATATGAAAAGTGGAACTATTGGACAGTAAGAACTTTGCACAGTTCAACTGAATATGCCATTTTGAATGTTAACAGGATTTTTATGTTTGTAATTAAGAACAAAGCTACATAATGAGCTCTCTGTGCTCTGCCCACTAAGGGTATCGCAACCCGGTTTCTGGCGTTGTAAGTCTGCAGACATACAGCTGTGCCTGACACGTGGGGGGGGGGGATGTTTAAAGGAAAGAAAATTAACACATAGCATAATGATACACATTGAGACCTATTTTACACTGAAATGCTACATCTGTCTAGGTCTATGAATAAAAAAGTTTCTGTTTCCAATATAAAAGCACATAAATAATAATGGTATAATATCACTTTTCTTCTCTAACTCGCCTGTTTCATCTACATTCAGAAATCCACAATAAGATGAAAGTCTGGGACCAACCAGAATTTAGGAGTAATGAAAGACCTTTGTATGTTTCACAAATACTCATTTGTTAACGACCATGGTTTCGCTAGTAAAGGCATCATCAGGTACAGCAATTATCTTTCTATTTTTACTCAATTCTCTAACTATAGAGTTTCAAGTATCAATTATGTAAAATTATTGTATTAGAGTGAACTTAGACCTATCATTGAACATTAGTTAAGCTATCTTCTAAAACTTGAAGTCAAGAAAATCAAGTAGACCGGAATTTGCATTATTACCTTTACTTCAAAATTTACTAGAAATGATGAAACAGTGGAAAGACAATAAAGACAAAATGAAAACATCAATAAGGAAAAGACAGGAAGTTATAATGTACAAGAACGAGATACAAGATTTACAGTAACAAATTTGATCATAGACAATACTGAAAAAGGCATAAGTTGTTTTTTGTTTGTTTCAGATATTCTTGTGAAGCTACACAAGCTAGCTGCCCATAATTTTGATTTAGACTAGAGGAAAGGCAGCTAGTCAACAGTCTCCACTACCAACTCTCGATCTACTCTTGCTTGACTACATATTGTCTATCACTGCTGTAATTGGCCTCAAGGTGCAGAGCTTGATTTCTTTTGGTGGATCTACAGATCCATAGTACAACAAGATATACACTGGGCCATGCTTGACACAGGAAGCATAGAAAAGCTACAGAAGGATAATAACAAAATATAAAAGGTTCATTTGTTTGTTAAATTTCATGCAAAGCTACTTCATCTGCACTAGCAATCCCTAATTTTGAGGTGATAGACTAGAGGGAAGGCAACTAGCCAACACTATCCACCATGAATTGTAAGACTACTCTTGACACACCAACTAGTAAGATTTGGCAATCAATCTTACAGAGCACCCAAAAGTGCAGATCATGATTTAATTGTCTAATTATTGGTAGTAGTGGGGTGCAAACCACAGAACTTCAAATCTACAGTTTAGCATGCTAACCACTGGGCCATGTTCAGCCCAAGTACAAAAGGACATCAATGAAGTAAAAAATAAAGTACAAAATAACATCAGTGACAAGATAAAACATAGGGAAGTTGAACTGGCAAATGTATGGATTAAACCAGCTACACCTCTCTCAACATCTGCTCAAAAATTTCAAATCAAACATCATTAAGTGTGGAATAGGATAACTTTTACTAGCTACACTTGTTATTTTCACTGTTGTGCCAGCTGAAACTTCTGGACCTTCCTGGACTTCTCCAGCTGCACCATTACCTTATCATTTACAGGATTCAGCATGCCAGTTCAATATCGTCCAATCAAGAAACAGACTATAATAAAAAGGTATCATGGGAGGCATATCAGGCACAGTTTAAAATTATTTCAAAAATGAATGAATGGAGTAGTGAATATCAAGCTATTCATCTTGTTGCTAACTTAAAAATTACCAGCCTTAATAACATTAAGTAACCTTCTAGTATAAATGTTTAGCAACCACCAAATACTAGTGGCCAACTTATCAAATAGATTTGGAGTGTCACATTACAAGGAATATTCAAAAGGCAGAGTTTATGAATAACGATCTTAGACAAAGATGTGAAAGACTGGCCCAATTATCTATTCCGGATGCTCTGTGTGAATAATGAATTTATTGGCACGTGGCTGCTTCACACATGCCAAAGTGGGTGAGATTATACATATCAGGGTAAAGCAAAGAGGTATATATCATTAAAGGAAGCTGTATGGTTAAATCAACATATGTTGCAGATAGACAACTAAAGGTATCATCCAGTGATTACGTGATAGTATCCAATCATCTTGATCATGTTTACCTTTTCCACATGTAGAGCAAATTCATGGATGATGAGAAACAGAGAAAAGAATCACCTTGATAGTTTCAAGATGTGGTGTACCACAAAGTACTCCGAGTTTCATGGAAGGGTTGGAGGAATAACATATGGGTATTAGACAAGATGGGATGTGAACAGATATTGAGAGTGTGAAAGCTGAGCATTGGTTCTTTGAACACATGAGAGCAAAAACATCATTCAGAATAGTATATCAAGTGGAAGTGACAACTAGTGGGAGAAAAACATCATTCAGAATAGTACATCAAGTTAAAGTGACAATTATTGGGAGAAAAACATCATTCAGAATAGTACACCAAGTGGAAGTGACAACTGGTGGGAGAAAAACATCATTCAGAATAGTACATCAAGTTAAAGTGACAATTATTGGGAGAAAAACATCATTCAGAATAGTATATCAAGTGGAAGTGACAACTAGTGGGAGAAAAACATCATTCAGAATAGTACATCAAGTTAATGTGACAATTATTGGGAGAAAAACATCATTCAGAATAGTATATCAAGTGGAAGTGACAACTAGTAGGAGAAAAACATCAATAAGAATAGTACATCAAGTTAAAGTGACAATTATTGGGAGAAAAACATCATTCAGAATAGTACACCAAGTGGAAGTGACAACTGGTGGGAGAAAAACATCATTCAGAATAGAACATCAAATGGAAGTGACAAAGAAAAAGGCCATGAGTGTGTTAGACAGATGAGGTACAGAAGAATATTAAAGGAGTTTAGATACATGAGCAAGTGTTGATTGTTGAATGTCATGGATATTAAATAGCAATGTATAGTGTTGATTGTTCAGTGCTATGACATGATGAGATTAGATACTATTGTATAGTGTTGGTTGTTGTGTATTGAATACAAGAGCACAGTGTTCATTATTGAGTTGGGAATGTGTGGACCATTAAAGACATTAAGAACATCAAAACAATGTCATATTCTGAATTTGAAAGTTATAAGAATTCAAGTCAAAATACTTTATCAATGCCACTAAACAAAAACTTATAGAAACCAACACTTACCATGAGCATTTCCACTGTATACAAAAAGAAAACTAATACCAAAGTATCGATGGTTGGTTGTTCCTGGCTGTGCCTCAGCTAAGCAATAGATATCGAACACCACCAAACAAATCATAAATACACATTCCACCTGGAAAATATAACAATATGGCCTACTTTGATCACAGTTTTTGACTTGATCTATTTTCACATTCTTTTTTACTGAAATCGACTGCAAAAATAACAATGTTTTAATGAAAGAATACTTTAATATTGTTTTCATTTTACCATCTTATTCCTACCTACTATCAAATGCGTTATTATTTTCATCATTGGTCATGTATTAGGAACTGACATGTACGAAATTTACTGTAACATAACATAATGTCTCATCCTCTATAGTAAAAGTACAACTATTAAATAAATAACTTCTAAGGCAACCCTTATCATTCATATCATTATCAAGCTTTCTCTTAAAGTTAAAATCACTTAAATTTACTGCCTCCACAACATCCAAAGGCCAACCACCCTGTTAAGAAAATAAATCTGTCTTGCTGAAGATGACTCCTTCCCTGCCAAAATGTATATTTGTCTCTCCTAGCCCAATTATTTCATAACTTAACATGTACTGATGTTGTTCGACGTACGCCTTCCGTTGTGACTAAAACAGTAGCCTGCTGACTTAGAAACTTGCTTTTAGTTTTACTTCTTCACTGGTCAGTCTAAGCATTGGACTTTTATTTCTCTCTGTGAGTTTCAGTGTAGACTTAAACTTGATGGTTTTCTATCCTAATTAAACAAACGTTGGGAATATATATGTACAGCAAAACGTCTCACGGAAGTTCGCTTCAGCATATCTTACTAAGTTACACTTACACTACCTGTAACTGAGAGTAAAATACTCACGATACTGTAAATGAAAGCAAAGTAACTGCCCTTCTGTAAGTCCGTGAAGTAAGCATCTCGAAGTAGAGGTCTTCTTTGTAACCAACTGCGTTGTTTACTACCAGTTAATGAAGTAGACATGCTGGAGTTTGAATTTAGCTTGCTGGTTAAAAACGGTCAAGGTGTGACCACACATATGGCGACGGTTAGCTCATATGCAGGTTTGTAAAGCAGGTAGTTTTCGTCACGTGACATAGTCAGGTGCTATAGACGAATCATATACATTTTATACAACAGATGGCAGCACATCTCTTTATTTTTATATACTGTTATGTATCTGTTTGTTCGTTTGTTAATTTTCCGTACAAATTCTTCCGAAAAATTTCAGCAATACAAGTCCTTCCTTAAAAAACTAGCTTATTCTTTTTCAATACAACTTTGCAATACACTTAATTCCCACAGTCAGTTTAACTTAAACAAACGCTATAATTCACAACGAACGATTCACGCGCTTGACTCAAATATCCGTCTCTATCTCTGTCTGCAATTCAATTCCATTGTTGCCGTCACTTCTTACCGGTCTTATATATACAAAAAGCGTACATCTCGTCTCTTCGTGAATCTTCTAGAACTCATCACGTGTTACCAGAGTAACGTGACTTCCGCTGTCGTAACACTGCCCCTTCGTCCCGAACAATAGCCACTTAAATTAAACCAATAGATAATTAAGAATAACTTAATTAAATGTACAGAATCTGCAAACACTATAAACACAAAAATTAAAATTCAACAAAGTATCTTAATTTTACGGGACGTATCTTCTTTGATACTAGCTTCTGCTTCACGTGAGGTTCATCTGCGCCATCAAAATGGTTCTATCATTAGTAATGGTCACATCAGTGGTAGTAACTTCATGAAGGGCTTCACTGTTTCCCTCCTCAAAACCGAATAGAGTTTCGTCTTCGACATTGGCCTTTCCAGGTGACACGTCTTCAGCGGCGTCTTTTGTTCCGTTGTTCACTTCATTCCAACTGAAATGTCCTGGACCGTGATAATGCCAAAGTCTGTTGGCATGCACCACTTTTGCCTTACCTCGCCGACCACATTTTATTCGGAAAGTCACGTCTGAGAGACGATCCATTATGTCATATGGGCCTTCCCATGGAGAAGACAACTTAGGAGACTTCCCTTTGGTCTTCCTTGGATTATACAACCACACCTTGTCTCCTGGTACAAAGCTAGCTTCAGTGGATCTCTTATCATAAGATAACTTCATCGAATCAGCAGACGTTTTTAAGTATGAACGCACTTGATGGTGAATATTATCCATCCTTTCCGATAACACTTTCACGAATTCTGACACATTTTCAGACAACTCTTCATAAAGTGGGCATCCTGTTAACAGATCCACTGGCAGCCGAAGTTCCCGACCAAACATGAACTTTGTTGGAGTATATCTAGTGGTTTCATGCTCTGCTGTCCTATGGGCTATCAACAGTGGAGAGAGTAAGACATCCCAGTCATCTTGGCGGCTATTACAAAACTTTGCCAATTCCTATCCAAGTGTCCAGTTGTACTTTTCTACCATCCCATCAGACTGTGGATG